CGGAGCGCGGCTCGGCTCCGGTGTGCCGCGGGATTCGGCTCCGCGAGCCCGTGCACCGCCGTCGCGGCTCCGGCTCCCGGACGGTGCCGAGGCGCTCGCGGAGCCGCAGCCCCCTCTGTACTCTTCCCGGTACTGTTTCCAAAAGGCCATTCGGTGAGAAAGTCTCTCGCGTCACCTCTGACCCCAGCTCAGGAGTAGAAATAAGAGACACTAGATCGTGGAGTACGACTGGGGAAGAAAAGTCATTGTCACAGGTTGGGGTGGGGGGTGACTAATAGGCGAAACAGTCCACAAAGTTACTGGACATCGAAATCTAAATCCTGAGCAAAAAAAAAAAAGTGAAGTTGCGCAAGTTTCTAAGAGCTTCCAACTTTTCATGCCGTTGAGGTTGTTCGGGGGGGATTTTTTTTTTTTTTTCACTCCGTCCTCTTGTTTTTGAAAAGGCACAGGATGTTCAACAGCCAAGTAATCGAATTTACCCTTCTGGTCGGAGATTGAATTATGGGTGACTGCTGGGAAAATGCAAAATAATGTGGAAGAAAAGAAATAGAAAGAGTAGAACAGACAAATGGGAAAACCAAGACTCCCCCAGCAAAATTTTATTCTAGTATTTTGTTTTTCCACTTTCAGTTGGGGCAGTTTACTTTAGAATGTTGTTTGCATGTTTTGCTGAGATATGAGACTGAAAAATAGCCCCCGCAAAATCTCCTTGCTTATTCAGGTTTTATTTGATGTAATAGCTACAAGAGGTAAAACTCATTGCTTCCTGGCTTAATGGGACCTGAGATCTTGAAAGTAAATTGCATTTTATGGAGGGAATCCCTTTTACACATTGCATGTTTTCTCTGAGATGTCTCTGGTGCAACCTTCTGGTCCAGAGGTTAAAGCAGCGGTTCTCAACCTGTGGGTCGCGACCCCTTTGGGGGTCGAACGACCCTTTCACAGGGGTCGCCTAAATGCATCCTGCATATCAGATATTTACATTACGATTCATAACAGTAGCAAAATTACAGTTATGAAGTAGCAATGAAAATTTTATGGTTGGGGGTCACCACAACATGAGGAACTGTATTAAAGGGTCGCGGCATTAGGAAGGTTGAGAACCACTGGTAAGGTCATTGCTTACAGGTCAAGAACCCACAGAGGGTTCTTGGATGACAGATGTGTGACTACCTTCTTTCATTTGCCATTAGCTCCACCCCTTGACTCGCTCTTTCTCCTTCCTTCCCTTCCTCCCTTCCTCCCTCTCTATTTCTCTCTCTCTCTCTGTCTCTCTCTCTCTCTCCACCCCCTCGGCTAGGACTTAGATCAAACAAGTCATGGAGACATAAGATCTATATGTTAGGCTTCTTTTCTTAAAGGATATTTAGCTTAGAAAATGATTAAATTTCACCTTGGTCAGGAGAACAGAAAGGACAAACTTCACTCTCTTTATGTGAATGCCTACAGAAAGCCTCTAGATTTGCTGTGAAATTAAAATTTAAAATTAAGTGACTAATGAAATTCAACATTGAAATTCAATATACAGAAATTTTAAATGGCTTCAGGAGGAAAACTTAATTATAAGTTTGCCTTCTCTAATATATGCATATAAGTGGGTTTCAGAGAGATATAAAACACCAGAAAATCAAATGACAGGAAGCTTCGAGTGTTTGGGTTTCCTAGCCAAGGATCCTCTGAGATTTTTGAAAATGTCTCTCAGACTGTGCCATCAAGCTACCAGGTAATCCATTTGGACTGGACTGACCTATTTTGTGATGAAAGGAATTAAACTCTTTCAATTCACTGTACGTAAAAGTCTGGTGTTTTTTTTTACCCCTGAATCCCCAGCATCAGGGACACTCTTCGCATTTAGTAGATATTTGAAAGGCTAAGACAAATCAATAGGAGAATGTTCTTTCAAATATTGGGAAGAAATCAGGAAGTAAGGAAAAGCAAGGCTCTCCAGGGATAAAGCCATATATGGTGTCAAGAAGGAAACGGGAAGAGAAAATTCCCACTCTGGGCTGAAATCTTTGCATATATATCTGGAAAGCATTTGCCAAGCAAATATTCATACCAATCAAGCAAACTAAATCCATGTAGAAACTAAAGTTGTTGGCCATGTTCTAGAGGCAAATACTCTTTAAAATATGCAACTAAACATGGATGTTACAAAGTCCTAGTTCATTAAATCAACAGACATTTACCTCTTGCCTCCTATGTGTAAATAAGGTGAAAGTGCAGGAAGAGAGAAATACAGATATGAATACAATATGATCCTTGCCCTCAATAGGCGTATAGTCTTAAGGCGAAATGTGGCTGTGGACAGCTATTATAAAAGACAAAATGAAATCAACTTGTATTAAAATCAGGATAGAAGTAACAATCTAAAGGTATTAAAAAGGAGGGCATAATTCATTCTGTTCTGGAGAACTGCCAAAGACTTCACGGGAAAGGACATTCAGCTGCATCTTAAAGAATGAGTAGGTAGTCAATAAGTCTGTATCTATACCACTAAAAAGTAAATCAGTAATTCCAAATCATCCCCAAACAGACAGTAAGACGATAAGCCATTTTGAGAAATCAAGGGCCATCACTAGATAGCTGAAAAGCAAACCACAAAACCCTAGGAGCTTGAATATTGAAGGCCAGAGGAACATGGGAAGACGGTCGCCTCTTCTGTGGTATCCTGAGAGGGATACCTACCCCCATGATCATATCACTCTGCCTGTCCTTTGAGATCTGGAAAAGAAAACCAGTCAAAAACAGAGGTTAGTCTCCAGGCATGACCTAGAGTCAACAAGCGAAAAGGCTGCACTCTTAAAAGGAGTTCCTGGGGAAGGAAAAGCCTGCCCTCCCTGTTCCCAGAGGCACTTAGCATGGCTGTTTCACAGCATACACCACACGCATCCCTGTAATTGTCTACTTCCTTCTCCCTCTCCCCTGCTCCCTCTCTCTGCCTCTGCCTCTCCCTCTCCTCAGTTAGGAGCTGCTTGTTTTTCCTAACTGTCTTCAGGACACCCAAAAGAGTGTCTATCCTACAACAGATAGTAAGCAGTGAATAAACAAATGGATACCAGAACCTCCATCAACAGCAAACACACTACTGCCTGTGCCAGATGCCTGAGGCATACAAAGCCCTTAATAATCTATTTGGGCAAACAGTCCTCATGCATAAAAGAATAGACAACGGTGAGAAATGAGGACTTGGCTGCTGACGTACAGTATAGAGAACAGATTGCTAGGAGTTCAGAAGAAGAAGCAGTTATCCAGGCCACCATTCAAAGCAACCCTAAAGAGTATTGATAGGCACACGATAGTCACCAGAAAGACCAAGTAGAAACCAGCCTGAAGCATTGCCTATCCTACAAGAGCTGGGAAAGAACTGCTCTGTGCAGAGCTTGCTGGCACAGCTGTCTGGCCAAGAAATGAGGTGGCCTTGCTGGTGGGACAGCAGGCAAGCAGGCCCAGGAAGACTCAGAGAGCTGCAAATGGCACCACCTAGAGGACAGTTTTCATTACAGCAGAAATATGATTAGCTGAAAGAAAAGAGGGTTTTAGGGTCAACATGTGGAAGATGAAAAGCCAGGTGTGAAACAGAACACCTTCTTCTGAAACACGAAAATACCCACACTGCAAAACCAAACTGATATTCTAGACCAGTGGTTCTCAACCTTCTGGCCCTTTAAATACAGTTCCTCATGTTGTGACCCAACCATAAAATTATTTTCGTTGCTACTTCATAAATTTAATGTTGCTACTGTTATGAATCATAATGTAAATATCTGATATGCAGGATGGTCTTAGGCGACCCCTGTGAAAGGGTCGTTCCACCGCAAAAGGGGTCACGACCCACAGGTCGAGAACCGCTGTTCTAGATATAACGGATATTTCTACAGTACCCCAGTGACATATTTCCATTACTACCCTCAAAAATGCATCCAAGAGAGTCTCTGACTAATCTAATGTACCTACTTAGTGCTTATCAAAGGTCAGCATTTTCACAGGAAGCATTGTACTCACAGTACAAAGGCCATCCAAGTGCCACCAGACTGGAAGGCCCTAAAAGGTTGGCCACATGGGAACAATTTTTAAACTGAGTAGACCAGTGTTTCAGCATTGGAAGCTATTTACTAATGTTTAATGAAGGAATGAATGAGCAAATGAATGAATATGTACTAAAATCAGATAGTGAGATATCAGGTCGCCCAAAATTATAGTCCAAATTCTTCTGGCATCCAAAGTATCAAGATTAACGTAGCTAATATAGGAGTTTCCTTCCTGCCCTGAAGTTACTACAAGTTGGAGCCACCTGTCCCCCAAGACTCTATGCCAGAGGTCCTCAAACTTTTTAAACAGGGGGCCAGTTCACTGTCCCTCAGACATTACACACATGCGCACTGCAGGCCGGGGACGAGTCGGCTGCTAAGCAGGACAGGCAGCGGCGGCAAAAACACCCAGCGGTGCGGATAGAAGTTTTCGGTGGGCCGCATGTGGCCCGGGGGCCGTAGTTTGAGGACCCCTGCTCTATGCCTTTGCTGGACTTTCACCTAAGAAATACAAACTGGTGGTCTTTGGCCTGCAGAAGTTTTATTTTTATTCAATGGTGCTATCAAAAAATTTTAATTAGCTGTTAGAACTTAAACATCAAGAGATTCCCAGAGAAATCAAGGTTTCTGTTTCCTGGTCAAAATCTGACCACACCAGGTCTATATTCCCACATCATGACCATTCCCCCCACCGGACTCACTCCCCATTGCTGGCAAACCTGGACCAATTTATGCTCCTCATTTAGTAATATGCTGAGCATTCCAGGTGGGCACTCTAAGGCAGTTAGCAAGATGGGGATTGGATTTTGGAGTTAATCAGGTAGTTGAGGCAATTTATTTCTCCATTTTTTTGTTTGCATGTTTCTAAATCAAATAATCACTTATCCCATTATACTCATCATTATACTCACCTCCCTTTGATGATTTCTCATGTAAAGCTCAATAAGGGCAGGATTTTTGGTCTGTTTTGTTCACTCCTAAATCCAGCACTTATAATAGTGCCTGGGATATAGTAGATGCTTAGTAAACACTTGTTGAATGAATGAAAAAGAGATCCTCCGATCAAAGAGGCCACATGGCAGTCTGCCTCTTTTTTTCCCCCCTTAGCCAGATGTTACCCACCAAAGTGGGCTCCCTCTCATTCCTTGGCCCCGTGCATCAAAATTTTGCCTCAAATGAGTTCACCAAGGAAAATTAGTCATCACTGGGATATCAAGAAAGCTGGGGATGCAACATTTTTGTTCAAAACTCAGATGGAAACATGTATTAATTCCACCTAAATCAACTTTATAGAAAGTTGATATTCCTGACACAACTTCAAGTAATGTGCGTGTTATATATTGGAGATCATGACACAACATGGAGTCAAAGTTAATTGCTCAATGTGTGAAGAATTAATGAAACACAGCACATGTTGATGAAAAATACATAAGTAATTAAAATATCTGTTGTGCTGCCTCCTCGATCGAAATGATCTTAATATTAACCTTTCAATAAATTACTACCTTTGTAATTTTTTCAACCTGCCATTCTGAATTTTATCAAGATGTAAGAGAGCTTAATAGCTTTTCAATATTAAGTAGAAATATAAAATATCCTTTCCTGACCAAAAATTAGATATAAGAGTATCTCTCTTATTTTTTTCTTTCCTATCTCTTATGCCTATGACAATCTATTTGAGCCACAAAAATTTCCAAAAGCCCCTTTTTAATTTGTCAGTGTACCTCCTTCTTTTCATCTTCATACAAATTCTTAAGAACCAAGTTTGGGATAAGGACTTTGGACCATATAGAATGGGGCCTGGAATAGAATGAGGTGAGTGAGGTACTACTAGTTTTTTTTGCCTTAAGCTCCAATATGACTCCACACAGAACTATTAGTGAATCTTCCTTCATTAAAAATTTTGATAATTTGTTCTTCATTGGGGTTTGCATGAATTCTTTAAAAATTTGCCTTTAAATATTATTTATCTTGATTACTGAGCTGTTTGGTGGTCTCTCAAATTTTGCACCTTAGGCAGATGCCGCACTTCCTCACCCTCTCTGGGCCCTGGTAGAGAAGTTGTGCGTGAATTGGCATACCAGTGGAGAAGTTGTCACCCTAGAAAAAGAATGTGCTGTGGAGGATTACCTATTCTTTACAATTTAAAATTTTCCATGATTTCTGCCTGTGGAACTGGAACAAAAGAGCTGGGTTAAGAAGCCACTGATGGTCTGAGTTGAAGCAGAAGCTGCCACGGCCTCTCCAAAAACACATGCTATCAGGAGAATCAGCCCCCACCCGGAGATGATGAGAAAAACGCAGAAAATATTACATATTCTCAGCTCACTTTCTGGGTTACAATAAGAAGCAAAAGCCATAGAAGAAAGAGACTTAAGATGCCCAAGGAATGTTTTTTAAATCCAAGAAATATTTCTTAAAAATAAAGTGGACTCAAAAGCCCATTTATAAAAACACAAAGGTACAGATGTACTAATGAGGGAGGGGTGACATGGAATCCCCACGCTTCCTCCTCTTCCCTCTTCCTTCAGGCCATTTTCAAAGCCTCTGAGCTAATCCCATTGGCACATTTTCCAGCAGGGTCATCCATACCTACAGGGTCAAAAAACTGGTCCAGGTTCTGCAGCCAGGAAGTGGCAAGCGCAGTACCAGAGGTTGGGTTTTCTCATTCCCAGTTTATTAGCCCTGATGCCCCTGCCTTTAAACTGAACTAGTCCTTGAGGAAGTTATATTTGGTCTTCAGCTTTCCTGGTCTCAGAATTTGTCATCTTTTGGGAAAGGGTCAATGGTTCCTTTAATCTTTTACCTGTTCTCAGAAGCCCATACCCTAGTGATAATAAATCATTGCATCCTGGCAGGAGTATTTGCATTTTCAACTGTATGGCTCTGACCCTTAGCTGCACATTAGAATCACCTGGGGAGACTTTAAATCATACTAGATGCTGGATTTTCACCACAAATATTTGTATTTAATTGCTCTGGGTTAGGGCTTGTTGTGTTTTTAGGTTTGGGGTTTTTTATGCCCCCCGGGTATTCTAATAAGCAGGCAAAACTGAGAACCACTGGGTTATAGTAATAAAACTAATTACATATGTGCAAGGCCTCAGCTAGTAGGTGGATAATGCAGCCATAATTACCTACGCTATCTGGGAGGTACAGCCAGTCCTGTACTAATCTCAGGGCTCAGCAGAACCAAGCTGGTCCTGGTGCCCACCCACGTCCCATTAGACCTTCAGATATTTTTTTATTTCCCTTTTCCCCTCACTATTTTCTTAAAATTTTTCTCAATGGTGAATGTCCTGAATGGGGGAAAGCTCAGAAAAGACAGGAAAACACGTCAAAGAAAATGAATGTTGTCCATAATCCTATCACCCAAAGTAGTCATTTTTTGTTAGGTTTTGAGTCCTAGAAATTTAAATGGATAGACATGAAATGATTTGTAAATTAAAATAATAGAGTACATGCTGGTATTTTTTCAAATTATACAGGCATATGGAAAAATGCTCAAATACAATGAAATTTTTCACAAGAAGTCTCCCTCCCACTGCCAACCCACCTCTTACCTCCCCAGAGGCAACCAGTGTTACCAGTCTTTTGGCAGACTTCCAGAAATATCTATATATATGCAGACAAATTGTTGCATATTATACAATTTATTCTGTAATTTAGTTTTCCTACTCAAAATATATCTCAGAGATGGGTCCATAACAGGCATTTTTTTTTTACACCACATAGTTTTCCATTGCAGATTTCCTGCAATTTCTTAACCAGTCCATTTTTTATGGGTATTTGTTTCTAATGTTATGCTACTTTTAAAATATTTATGTATTTAGTTCTTTGTTCTTCCCATGAATTTTTTTATTTATTAAATATGCTTCAAAAATTATTTTAGTACTACTTGGTATTCCACTGTATAAATTTATAATAACCTATTCAAATCATACTGAATTGTTAGACATGTATTGTTTCCAATTCTTTATCATTATTCATGATGCTGCAATGAACAATCCTCGTATACAAATCTTTGTGTCTCAGAGTCCCTAAATAAATTCAACAGAGTAGAATTATTGGTCCAAAGCACACACACTTTTTAAGGCCTTTGATAGTACCAAATTATAACTATAACTAATGGCCTGGTGCATGAAATTTGTGCATGGGGTGGGGGTGTCTCTCAGCCCAGCCTGCACCCTCTCCAATCTGGGACCCCTTGGGGGATGTCCAACTGCCAGTTTAACCGGCAGTTGGACATCCCTCTTGCAATCCGGGACCACTGGCTCCTAACTGCTCACCTGCCTGCTTGCCTTATCGCCCCTAACCACTCTGCCTGCCAGCCTGATCGCCCCCAACTACCACCCCCTTTTGGCCTTATCACCCTTAACTGCCCCCCCTGCCGGCCTTCTCGTTCCCAACTGCCCCCCTTTCTGGCCTGCTCACCCCCAACTGCCCCCCCTGCTGGCCTGCTCGCCCCCAACTGCCCCCCCCCACTGGCCTGATCGCCCCTAACCGCCTCTGCCTTGGCCCCGCCACCATGGCTTTGTTCGGAAGGATGTTCAGAAGGTCTCCCGGTCTAATTAGCATATTACCCTTTTATTAGTATAGATTTTTCTTTATCATTATAAACTACTCTGAGGCTTTAATAATTTCAGAGATTCTTTATAAACATATGCCTCTATCTAAAAATTAGTATAAGCAGTATCTTAATTGAATAACAATCTATATAGATAAAGCTTATTTTTAATAAGTTTAAAGTCATTTTATTTTAGGGAGCTTAAATAATACATAAAACCCGTAATTCAGGGGAAAGTCTACATGGTAGCACATCTAAAATATTTCAGGCTTTCTTTTAACACAAATCCACAAGACCCATTATTTAGCTACATCTTGAGTTTGTTCTGTATGTATTTTCAAAACTTCATTCTGGCCCTAGCTGGTTTGGCTCAGTGGATAGAGCATCAGCCTGCAGACTGCAGGGTCCTGGGTTGGATTCTGGCCAAGGGCACATGCCTGGGTTGTGAGCTTGATCCCCAGTGTGGGATGTGCAGGAGGCAGCCGATCAATGATTCTCTCTCATCATTGATGTTTCTATCTCTCTCTCCCTCTCCCTTCCCCTCTGAAATCAATAAAAACATATTTTTTAAAAAAAAAAAACTTCATTCTGAAGACACGGAATACCCTTTCAGCTCTGCATCTAGGGGTGTAGCTTGCCCAGAGCAAATAAAAACTGTACTGGCTAAGCCTTCCCTTCCATTCACAGGGAGCCAAGATAAGGATCGGCTTGTTCAGCTGCATGAGGATTAGACCTCAACAGTGACATTTTGCAGGGATCAGGGGACAGACATTACCAATTACCCAGGAAAGAAAAAAAATGCTCCCCAGAAAGATAGGAAGTCCTATTAAATATCTACCTTGTCAAGCCAAAGGCTACATGCTGCACTTTTGCTATTTTACTTGTTGGGAAAATCTCCAAATATAGTACATTTCTATTGGTTTTAAAAACTAAGAGCCAGATTAAGTAGGGATAAAGCAATTTCATGGGAATTCTTTCATGAAAGAATCTGTTTCAATCTTTTTAAAGTCATCACACACCATTTCTCTTGGACTCTATGTCCTGCCAAGTGATTAATATCTGAAGGTCTGAAATCACTCAAATGCCCCTAAATTATAGTTAGAACTTACCTGAAGTACATGCCTTGTAAGATTGTTTTAGTCAGACCTGCCTGCAGAATTTTGAGGCATGTGGTGGAATGTCAATGAGATGGCAGATTGCTTAGACGCCTGTTGTTGGCTCTGAAATGCCCCCTGGGCCATGTCATTGTGCCAAAGGTATTTATTCTGGTGTATATCTTTCCACAGGGGTGGGCATAAGGCTGCCAGTTCCACTAACTGCAATTACAGGACTACAGATCCTAAACAACTTCAAGGCAGGAATAGAAAAAGAAAGGTTATCTGAGAAGGCCAGAATCACTCTCTTTTCCTCTCCATGAAGAATACGTCAATGACAGGTTGATTAATGGGGTTTTGTGCCCTATGTGGAAGGCAAAGTATTGGTAAAATGGCAGGAAAATAATTTGTGTCTCCTCAATACATCTTATTCAATGTATTTTTAAAAATACGTTTTTATTGATTTCAGAGAGAAGAAGGGACAGGAAGAAGAGATAGAAACATCAATGATGAGAGAGAATCATTGATCGGCTGCCTCCTGCACGCCCCACACATTTGTCAATTTGGTAAAATAGACATGTCTTGCAAAGGTGGCTGTTGTGTCACTGTATGACTAAACCTCAAACTCTTTGAGCTAAACATGGGGACCACTCCTGATACATCTTAGGATTGGAGTTGACAGGCATCATATTCGGGTAACAGGGGGATAGTTGGACAGCAAGAGGGGAGGGTCATGCTAGTTTGTCCACGAAGCTTGACAAGATAGAACCCACTTTAAGTCCCATCCAAGGCAGCTGAGTATTACACAATGTCCAAGGATTACAGCTACATGAGCTCACCATTCAAACAAATTCATTCATGTATTCATGCAACTCCCATTTGTAGCAAGGCAGGGCACAGGAAGAGGAAGGAGTCTGTAAGTGCAAGGTGAGTCAGGATCAGGAAAGTTGGCCTCCAGGCAGGAAGGTTGGAGCCCAGCTCTAGTTCCTGGGATAGGGCAAGTGCCCTGAATCATTAGGTTCAAGGAAGGTTAGCAGAACAGAGCTCAGGGGTAGTGAACTGGAAACCTTAGTGCACAATTGCAGTGGCTGCCAGACAATAACCAAAGCTAAGTTTTAAAAAGGAGACGGAGATACTAGGAAGGGAGGGAAGATTCAAGATGTTTAATTTCAGCTTACCTGGAGTCCTAACTTCTCTTTTATCTTGAACCTAGTGTGGGACTTAGGTTTCAGCAGACTGGGAGTCCTATTCCAATTGACCTTGAGAAAGAGGAGCAGAGACATGCCGGATGCTGATTCTGGGAGATGGTGAGAAACTCCACACAGCTGTACCTTGAGCTCATGACCAAATTGGATGTATTCTAGTATGCACAGGCAAATGCTACTCCTCAAACAAAGTTGTCATGATTTAGCTCTCCTGGGGGTGGGGGGGCAGAGTGAAGCATCTGTGTCCATCCAGATATGTAGTAGTACATGTCAAAGAGCCGAATGACATCATGAGACATGTTTATCTGATACATTTGAGGACATTTATTTAAGGTAAGTAAAATGCCACCCAAGCATCTTATTCTGAAGATGATGGAAAAATGGTGGACCTGTTTTTGGAAAAGCTTCCTGGGTTTTTTACAACCCCCAAGAATTTCTAGAATGCCTGCTGTGCCTTTGGGACTGTGCAGAGTACAGTTCCCAATCTTCAGCAATTATTCCAGCAAGATGACAGGTAAAAGTAAGCCTTCACTTGCTATTCATTTCAAACGTAGTTCAAATTTTCTAAATGTGCTAAAATTTCACATTCAAGTGAACAAGAAAGAAGCTTGTGGTTTTTCTATGCATTATAAGCTTTTCTAACGGAAGAGGTCTCTAAATTAGAAGTAGTTTATCCAATCTACAGTAGGGAGAGGGAAATAATCAAGAAAATTCCATGGAAATCCTTTTTTTTTTTTTACTTTAGCACCATGCAAATGTCATGTCTGTGCACACAGAAAGTGTGAGTTATAAACATTCTCCAACACTTAACACATTTTTGCTAATTAACAGTATGCAGTCTATATGTCACACTTCCTAATTGATTTGCAAAAGATTAGAGTTATCAAAACAGGCTTCATAAATGCATTCATAGTCAACACCATGCTTAATTCTTTTTAAAAAAAATATATTTTATTAATTTTTTACAGAGAGAAGAGGGGAGAGGGATAAAGAGCTAGAAACACCGATGAGAGAGAAACATCTATCAACTGCCTCCTACACACTCCCCACTGGGGATGTGCCTGCAACCAAGGTACATGCCCTTGACCAGAATCAAACCTGGGACCCTTGAGTCAGCAGGCCGACGCTCTATCCACTGAGCCAAACCGGTTAGGGCCCATGCTTAATTCTTGCATGGATTCTGGTGAAGCGCATGGCCTGACTAAGCATGTGGTTCAGTTTCTGTCTGCATGGGATCACTTAAATAGCTGGGTGCCAAGTACTAAGTGCTTACACATCTTTTTTTTTTTTTTCTGGGTTGTCAGATTTTTATTTTCTTCTTTGCACTTAAGTTTTTTGTTTTTTGTTTTTTTTTATTTTTCGCTAAAAGTATTACAAAGGGTATTACATAAGTGTCCTTTTTTCCCCCCCACCCTTGACAAGCCCCTGCCCTCCCTTACCCCCCAGTGTCTTATGTCCATTAGTTATGGTTATATGGATGCATACAAGTCCAGGAGGGAGGGGAGTAAGAGTGCTTACACATCTTAACAATGTGTGACAATGAAGATCCCTAGAACTTACTTAGATTCCTTGTAATGTTGTACTCCCATTGCAACAATAAAAAATGTTCAACTACATGAACCATTACAAATCATCCCCTTACAAAAAAGGATGTATATATGATAAATAAAATATTTGACATTTATAGATAATTTAAAATGTTAAAATAATATATTTCCAGGAAAACTTTTGTGATTAATTTCTTGAAAATCTTTGGAAGTCTTTGAAATAGAAAAAATAATGCCTTTAGAGGTAGTCTTCTATTTGTGGTTGTTCCACTCAACTAATCAGACACAAAGTAGTTAAGTCATAATTTATAATTTACATTGTTATCTGTCCAATTTTCATGAATGACCAACTATCATTCATCCTAGAAAGATAACTCCTCTCATCATTTAAGAAGACTCTTTTTTAAAAAATATTTTTTTATTGATTTCAGTTAGGAAAGAAGAGAGAGAGAGAGAGAGAGAGAGAGAGAGAGAGAGAGAGAGAGAGACATCAATGATGAGAATCATTGATTGGCTGCCTCCTGCATGCCCCACCCCCCACTGGGAATCGAGCCTGCAACCCAGGCATGTGCCTTTGACTGGAATCGAACCCGGGGGACCCCCCAGTC